AGACGACTTATACAAACGTATAAAACCCATGGAAGGTCCAACTCCACGACTCTACGGACTTCCTAAGGTTCACAAACCGCAGGTGCCACTACGACCAATCGTCGCGTCCACTACGGCCCCGAACTACCAACTAGCCAAATATCTTTTCAGCCTCCTGTGCCCGACTCTTCCAGAGGACAACCACGACACAAAAAGCTCCATTGCTTTTTGAAACAAATAAGAAACTTCAGAATTAAAACAGATGAAATAATGGTTTCCTTTGACGTGACATCGTTGTTCACGAACATCCCAAGGCAGATGGCCTTAGACGGAATCCGAAGCCTGATGGAAAACGACTCCAGTCTACAAGAAAGAACGATGTTATCAACAAGAGACCTGATGGGTCTGGTGGATCTCTGCCTGGAAACCTATTTACAATTCAATGAAAAAATATACAAACAAATACGAGGCACACCGATGGGATCGGCGCTTTCAGGCCTGCTAGCAGATGCATTCATGAAGCAATTTGAAGCCAAAGCGTTCGAAACAATCAGACCTCGTTTGTGGATCAGATACGTTGATGACACATTTGTAATACTAAAAAAGTCTGAACTAGATCGATTTCATCAACACCTGAACACGCTCATACCTGGAATGAAATTCACAATGGAAGAAGAATGCGACGCAAAACTGCCGTTTCTAGACATTCTGATCATGAAGCAAACAAACGGAAATCTAGAAACAACGGTCTATCGAAAACCAACGACAACCGACCGCATACTGAACTTCCAAAGCAACCACCCAACATGTCACTTGAAGAGCTGTGTGCGCACCCTATTCCACCGGGCCGACACACACTGCAGCACACCCGAACTCCGAAAAAAGGAAATGATCAGGCTTTTCAAGTTGTTCATGGCAAACGGCTACCCAAAAAGCTTCGTAAACTCTTGCATCCGAAATAACAAAAAAGACCAAAAGAAAAGTAGCCCAGAAAGCATGGTCGTACTACCATACATACGAGGAGCATCAGAGGCAGTAGATCGTATGCTAAAATCGTTGGGCATCAAAGTTGCCCACAAACCCGTCAACACCCTGCGGACCGCCTTATTCAACGGAAAAGACCGTGTGGACCAGCACGATCAATCAGGAGTGGTCTATGCTATCCCATGCCTAGGATGTGATAAGGAATACATAGGCGAGACAGGTAAACAACTACGTACTCGCCTACACGAACACAAACTAGCATTGCGACGCGCCGACCCACACTCACAGATTTTCAACCATTGCGCAGAGACAGGTCACGAGGTCAAAATCGATAGCGCAAGGGTAGTCGCCCGAGCAAAGAAGAAGGGGGAGCGCCTGGTCCTCGAAGCCCTCCATTCGATCAACTCGTTCAACCGACACGTCGAGGTTGATAAGCATTACGTCACCCTGGCAAAACCGATGGCGAAAAACCGAGAAACGGACAGACGAGCAACACACCAAAAACGCGCGGAACCAGCCGTCCCCTTTAACACACTCATTCACTCACGTTTGACAACGAGTCCTAGTTCGGATCGAAACGTCACAATAAACGTTTTACAACTCAGCGTACGCCTTGACTTCTCTATAATAAAATATATATATATATATATCGATTGTAAGTAGTATGATAATGTGTGGACAAAATCTCCCCGGAAGCACACGACCGGTTTCGCGGTTGTTGCCGCTCATCAGGTATGCGTACCCGGTACAATTTTGTCCACACGTTAACATAGTACTTACTATCAATATGAGCGCTTGCACATGCAGCATCGTTGGTCGTTGGGTTAGCAGTGACCCAGACACGAATAACTATGAGAAATCACAGTTGTGATTCATTTGTGGGCTCTTCAATGAAGAGTATCCATTCACACTCCAGACAATTCAAATTAGGTTCTAGTGAATATATATATATATATATATATATATATATATATATATATATATATATATATATGATGCCAGTAGCCTGACAATAGAATATGGAAGGTATAATGTGATTCATCACACACCTTCAACGCTCAACTCACCAATGAAACTATGGAAACACTGTACAGATGTTTCATTCTATGTAGGAATCACCAGCCATGCACATCCACCGAGGTCCCACATGGACTCGATTCCGGGGTGAGTGATTGTGAATCGAACACCCTAACCACAAGGCTACCCGGACTGGCTCTCAACGGCTTGCTGAATATCTACACTAAATGATATGGCACCCATTCCGCCAGGTATATTAAAGTATAATAATTACAATATTCAAGTTATCTGATCGAAGTTTCACTAATAAATCTTGGATGTCAAATAATGCAAATCGTTGAAATTTGCACCTGCAATATCTAATGCGCATTGTTTTAAGGTTGGTTTTACAGTGGGAATGTCAAAAATAGCTTACACACTTATTGATACATTATTATCACTGATGGAATTTATAATAGGAATTTGTTTTACAACGAAATGCATGTGATAAAACCTTTGTGGTGGAGTTGAAAAACTGTAAAAGTGAGTGCTTTTCTTGTTCTATTTAATCGTTGTTGGAGGTTTATCAGAAAATAATGCGTCCTATGAGCTAACGGAAATCTTCCAATCTACTTGCAAAATAATTTCAGAAAGCAGTTTGTATTTTGATCCACAAAGTCAAGTTTGTCCCCAGAATGATAAGTTTTTGATTTTCATAAATAAACACAAGGGAAAATGATAATGCAACTTGGTGACCACTTCATATTTAGTCTTTCATGAAGGATAGTTTCACCCAGTGGGCCCACAGTAAGCCTTACCGCAAATGCTATGTCAAATTTGATTTATAACATGTCTGCATTTAAGCTCCTCCATATGTGAGCCATCTTGTAACCAAGGTAGATTTGAGCCTAATAGCGATACGCTGGTATTTGTGTAGGCTTCCCTTTGACTGAGGAGAATCCATTGGTTTACGATACTGCCTGATTCTCGGGGAGGTTTGTTGTGTTCGTCTGGAATAGTCGTGCGCTCATTAAACACACCCCCGATCTACACCCCGTGAAATCATGGCTGCACGCCTGCAGCTGCATACACACGTACACAGTCGACTTTTGTCGTGTTTCGTCCCGGACGGCACAAACAACTCAGATCGTGTCAGGTGTTGCACGACCTTGAACGACTTAATCCGATTGTACAATTGTCGTACACTTTCGATTACATACATCACAAAATCACACATTTATATACGTGTTCACGTTTTCACCTACTTGTTTGTATTGGCGTTTACAGTACGCTGCTAAGGGAAACACGGTCATTCATACAAGCTTTCCTGATTCCTACGTACTGAATTCGGGATACAACGAGATTGGTGTTAAATATGGTTAGGCATCCAACCAGATTAATTGTGAATCGCCCCTGATTACTTCTGGTGCCTGTGAACCACGTGTTTCGGTGTATCAGTGACTCTCTTCGCCGTTGTTTACTTCACATACTTTGGGGACTGTACCTTCGGTCTTACGGTGTTGCTTAATTTTCTAGAAATAGGACCTGTGTGACCAATTCATGTTTATTTTCCTCACTGGTTGGATTTTGATGCCGTTGACATTCGGACTATTGACGCACCATACGATGCCTTTAGCCTGACCCGGAACGCCGTACTTACTTGTCCGGCTTGTCGCACACTCATTGACACGCACACGCACGCACACACACACACACACACACACACACACACACACACAACTCACTAGCATCGTCCTTCAATTACCAGGGATCACATTCACCACATTGTAACGGGATTGGCGACAGACCTTATGGATATGGCTCGTCTTCCCATCAGAACATCACACTGGATAAAGGAGAGGTAGGTGGAGCGGCCTTGAACATCGCACAAAAATCGAAGATTCAGCCACGCTGAGCTCTGTTCAGGAGCAGCCGTGATTGTTGGCTTCGTTTGAGGTTTTTGATGTAAACTACTTGGTATACGAAAGTGAACGTGTTAGTGATGCTTCCCGAATTGGTCGACCGTCGCTTCGGAGTCGTCATCTGAGTGTTTAAAAATTGACGAGGGTTCAGAGCACGTCAGGTCTGGCTTCAGCAATGGCTTCTTCTGCATCTCTGTATGATTCAAAACGACAACATATCTAATACGTGGTTGAATCTCCAACTGATGCTCAAAATTACACCTTGCAGCCTGAGCATATGGCGTAGGAATGAATTCACGGAAATTCATGCCAGGACCACGAACCAGCGATTGGATTTCCGCTCTTACTACTTCCTGGAAATCAGCCTGAATTACATAATTTAGGAGCAGAGCCTCCAAGTCTTCGAAATAAATTGTAGCAGATGCTTACGGCATGGAGCGATTTTTCATCAACGGATAAAATAAACACCCGTCAATCATCAAGAAGAACGCAGTCTAACTTTCCCCATTGACGTGGTTGCGTATGCTGCAGTAAAGTTGATGGAAATGTGCTTGCTTGTTATGCCGATGAACAATTTGACTGCATTATTTCTTCGTTTATGACAATTTTGACGCATTGTGTAGTTCTGGGCATTGGGCATTTCGGTAACATTTCCACGTACCCCGAACTCCCTTCTATACGAGAAATCTTATGTGAAGACCAACTGAACTCACACTGTGCTTCGACCATCTATAAGGGCTGAGTTGGGGACATTTTTCTTTTTTAATAACTGTCAATGATTGCGTTGGAGTTTACGAATGATGCAGACTAAACAAGCTAGAGAACACTAGTCAATCAAGCAATGCACGAGGTCGTATGTGGTTGTACTGATCCAAGTTAAGATTACCACTCGGAAACTTCGAAACTGTGTTGAGAGAATGAACTTTGAGTCCACTGTAAATACTGAATAGTGGTTGAACAATACACAGCCATTCCGAAACAGTATTGAAGTACACTGATTTACAAGAGCTAAAACACGCTTCGGGATGACCCAATGAGCAGAGTTTTTCTAATCCTAACGAAGGACAATGATCACAGACAACATGAACTTCTCATCTCCACAATCTAGAAATCGCTTACCGACAGATTCGAAACGTTTACTTTTGTACCCCACGAATTTTGTTTTGTTCAGGAACATGCGTATAAACCGTCCTACAATGTTGACCATGGCTGAATGCTGTTGTGTGGCCTTACAATTTGTCAGGCTGCTGACTGCGGCAAACTTACTGATCGGACATTCGATGCCGGTTGCCGTCACATGCATGACGCACGTACGCACATCACTGTAACTTCTCCCATTCTACTGAAGGCTTGCTCTAGCCAATCAAATTTTAGCCCTGGGGCGTACGACCTTGTTGATTCGTTGCTACAAAGCGGCCCTGCTTTACCGCACTTGATTGCATTTAATGCTTGCGCTTGCCTATCGATGATTTACCTGCTTCCTTGCTCGGTTAACTACGTGCTAACGGACGCGGTAATACACAGATTGATCTAGGGAGGGAACCATCCCGATGGATGGATGTCACGGAAACGTTGAAAAATGAGTGTGACTTAATATGTATTAAGACCGAGAACAGTGCAGTAAATTTCGGTCCTCCACCCAGCAGGAGGATTGTCTTAGTAATTGCTACCCCGTTCCTCATAGAAGCATGTGGCAGTTTGAAATGCAGCTTGTATCTGCTGATTTGAACTCTGCTTTAAGCGTTCCACAGGGAGCAGGATTCGTAGTTATTTCGCCAATATACCCAACTGTTGAGGTTTGGCCTTTTGCTGACCAGTTTATTTTGCTGATCAGTGCTTGGCGTATGATGAGCTGTAAATGGTTGATAAAAGCCATTTGTATGGGAGAATTCTTTCAAAAATTGTCACTGAATTCCGAGAAATCACACCCACCATCCCCATTTATTTGAACCGGAATAAAACGTGAACAACGTTGACGGAGAAATTCAGCCAGATGCACTATGATCATTGATAAATTCATTACGGTTATAATCGAAATGTTCTCCGTGTTCAAGAATAGCGTTTCACCAAGAAGAGGTTTCACTCCATGTTTCACAGGAGGATTGTAAATATGTTGATATAAGGTGGATCGAGATAAAGCAGATATAAACGGTTTACTTCTCTTGCTGAGGTCGAACTGTTAGGTTTTTGCTACTTTAGAGAACCACAAATGCGTGGAATGGGGAGATACTATTCTTCTTCTTCCAAATCTGGCTTCGTTACCGCTTAGTTTTTATTCATTGTTGTATGTAACCACATCCGTACGTTATGTACATCACGTGCGCTATGCATCCGATCGAGTCAAACAGTGTATATCAAGTGCCACTGACCAGGAGTACGAGGCCCTAGCTTGTAGATTACTCGTGGAACGACGAGATCGGAACCCGTTTTGACTATCGCTTAGCAGACCTTTACTTTTGAGGAGCAGTTGCAAATGGTCGAAAATTAAGGTCTTTATGACCTCCCAAATGGCAGAAGTTGAGAAAATGGCTGCAGTGGGATTGCAGGCATGGGTAAATCACTCCTGCCGAACTGCTTACAGTCCTCGGACTATGGTTTAGGCAGGAATTATTGATACTGGATCAGGTGGCCCCTATTTCTTCGAAAAGTCTGGTAATCGCAAAAATTAATGACAATTTTAGGTGAAATGTAGATGACGTTTGTGAGGATATTTAATTCCTAACCCGACTGAGTTTACCGATGGTGACTGAAGCCCTACTGGGTTTCAGCACAATGGCGAGCCTCCACACACTGCCAGGCGTGCTGTGAATATCTGGGTGTTGCTTTCTCTGAGGAATGAATTGACGATAATGGCATCAGAGAATATCCCCCACGGTCTCCTGATTTATCGCCGATGGACTTATTTCTCTTGGGACATTTCAAGACTAAGGTCTACTTGAGGAAGCCAAAAACGATTGATGAAGTAAGGCTGCATAATACAGAGGAAACACGAAGTATACCGGAGGCAACATTAATGATGAAAATAACTGCCAGTTGGATGTTTGTGCCCCACCCCGGAGTCGAATCAACCTGAGCGACGTTCCGATGAAGTGATTAGGCCATTTTCGTGACTCTTCCTAAGGGTGAAGTAATCTGTGCGTGCTTGCGTGCGCATGTGTATGGGAGAGATTTTTCTCAATCGGCCATTTGATCAGCGGGTCGAGATTTTCCGAGTTCATGGCTCGGTTTTCGGGTAGAAGGCAAGTGAGTTGAGACACACTGGTAACCATTATCCTTATCCACCCTGCACATTCTGAGGTATAAATGACGCAAGACATGTCACCGTTCATACTTTGTAAACAAGTCAGGTAAAGTTCATAAGGGCATGGCATTTAGATGGCAAACATTTCATCACCAGTCGGGGTGACATCGTCAGTGCATGTGTACTGTTGGTAGTGATCTCTCGATTGAAAATCGAGTGATTGAGTGAGTGCGACCGTGTGCGTGCGCGCGCGCGTGCAAAGGTTCAGATCAGCAGCGAAATGCAACGGGTTGATTATCGATTGTGATGAGGAGGTTGATTACAAACACGTCAGTGGGTCAACGAAAATCAAACGCTCTCGATCACTCTCATGCTAAGCAAGATTAAGAGAATGAGGTTGGTCTGTCTCTTGACCGAGAATAGGCGGAATGATCTTCAATCAGAAATATCCGGGTACGTTAATGTAGCGGTATGCTGGGACCGGACGAGGTTCAGAGTGTATAAAAAAACGATGGGTCATGTGGTATGTTAAATGAGACTAGCAATTCATCAGGAAGCAAGAATTCCGGCAATGGTTTATGAACCAAAGGCAACACAAAACTCTGGGGTGAAACGTTTTAGCGTTTCGCGGTAAACCGTGCTGAATTTGATCGTTATCCCGATTCTGGGTAAAATTCGTGTCTTTGTAGACCACAGACAAAAATGTCGTTTCGGAGTGCAACTTAAATTTTCATGAAGTAACTGATGTCACTTTCCTGTGGTTATCGAAAATGAGCGAAAAATGATTATCTCGAAAAAGTCAGGTGTTTGGTCATATTTATCAGAACAGGTAGAAGGCAGAAATGGCGAAATGCAAGAGAGGAGCAAGTGTAGAACAATTCAGGAGACGGTTCGGTAAATCACGTGACAAACACACACTGGAAGTCAACAATTTTGGGCCCATAGTGAGGGGCTGAGTCTGCTTATTCATGCAGCCTGACGAATGGCTACGATGGTTTGGATTTCGTGCAGTCACTCGGACCGCTCGATCCAGATCAGTTTGATGACCAAAGGTCACATGGTATTTCTCGATCAATGAAGGCGAGCTTTTCGTGGTCGTTTACTATGCAGGCGTGGGATAACTCATCAACTGCACTGACCTTCTTCAAACATGTTCCCCTATTCTCCGACTGAGACACCGATCCGTCCTGCCTATGTAGGTGTGACTGCAACCGCAGCTTTGAACCGATAGATGACAAGTCAAAATGGGACGGGTTTTTCAGCTATCTCCCACGGTCGTCATTTGTTGAATGTTAGGATGAGCGGATTATCGATCGATACACTGATGCAATCCATCAACTAATTGACTTTCTATCAAGAATCACTGAGTTTCAACTACAGTGCATTTCACTCGACTTGTAAGCAGACTGACTAAGAAATCCAAAGAAACGTGTTCCGTTGAGAATCAAAAGATTTATGGCATGTCAAGAAATGAAAAAGCGAGCATGATGCTTAGATACAATGAATGATGCCTGGAAAATGTTCACTTTCCCGGAGCGACCGAGAACGTTGCAAAAACTTGAAAAAATGTGGACCGAAGTTCTGTGTCCACCACTTACGGCAGCAATCAAATTCGAAACTCTTTGTAATTGAGGAGCTTGGCCTTAACGGCATGCATCAGAGACAGCTTACCGTTGGTTTTATTTTTCTTCAATTAGCTTATTAGCCAGCCTCGGCCTCTTTCCAGTATATCTACTTAGCGTATGCTGCGTAATAAAAATAGTAGTGAGAACATAGATGTGAAGCCAAAATGCTCATGTAAACTTAGAAATAACCCTGAATAACCTCGGGCAAACCAAAAATATTCAAAAAATAATTGAAGAAACAGATGCATGGATAAAGCAGACCCTGTAATGCATTTGATGCAAATTGATATATTGGAAGGTCATATAAATTGATCAGCAAATTATTTGAAAATACACAACGTGAGTGTTCGTCAAAAAGCTCGTTAGTACTACGAACATCAGCTCACGTGACCAGTAAGAATCGATGAGGGAAGAGAGGAAAATGGCCTCCGTTTTCGCGGCTATCCACGAATAAGTTGGATTTCGGCTCACTCAGAGAGCTTTCATGGACGATCACTGACAGTACCCGAATAAGTACGGATTTTCAACTCGTCTTATGCTCTTTACTCTAAAAAGCACTACATAAGTTTGTGAACAAAACTGTAATTTGTGAATTCAGCCCAACAATGAACAGAGCCATCACCAGTTTCCTAGCCCACTAACCCAACACAGTTCACCATTAGGGGTGAATAAATCGCCAAGTTGGCCGTGGGGTATCGGGACTAACGCTGATGTCTCGCGAGTTACTCTTGACTGTGCAAATGCTGGATGGGCATCTTCTTATTAAATGACTCATTATGCATCAGCGACACCCAACAAAACCATGAGTATTTGTGTGACTTTAAAGCTCATTCACTTATATTTCAACTAAATCAACACCCATAAAAATCTTCACTTTGGTATGCGCGTGATAAATAAAACGGGATAAAAAACCGAAGTTAGATCACCACAACTTATTACGAATGATCCTTTTTCTGATGAACACAAATAGTCTTGTTATACTATCCGGAAATTCCAAATCTCAAAAGCATTCACCATTATTTGCAGAATACAGTAGAAAATGTCAACAGACCACTCTAATATACCCGAACATGATTCAACTTTATTATCCTGCTTAATTAACTGAAAGGTGGGAAAATAGTTACGAAACCCAAGGTAAGACTTAACGCTTCAATTTTTGCTGCTTTTTACACTAATGTGAGGAGTAATGTTTGCTGTTGAATTGCAAGGGTAACAGGAGGCAAGAAAGCCTCGAAAATTCCATCACGATGAGACTGCACCTTGGCGTGGTGGGATGACTTGTGTGCCTCCATGACCCAAAAAGCTATACAG